GGCAAATGGACCAGCACGATGGGCAGGAGCGACGACCAAGGTCATTATTGGAAGGATGATGCGGGCGAGGGGCGCCTCCGATGATTGGCGCTCAGACTACGCTGTTTCCAGCCTTTGAGCGAGCAGTATCTCCCAGTTACATTCTATTCTGGCGAGGCTCGGAACTGACACTGTGGGCGGACGGCGCTGGGGGAGGGATCAACGAGGGAGGCTTAGGAGCAGAAGTGAGGGGGGGAGGGGCAGAGACGGGGGCGGCGGGCAGGGTTGGGGGTGGGGGCCAGAGGGCTTGCGGGGGAGTCCATTGGAGGCTCCGCGAGGGCCCCCATGGGCCCGCGGTGGGTCCGGACTCCCCCCCCCGCGGTGGGTCCGGACTCCCCTCGGCATCGTTTTTTTCCACGTCTGAGAAGACTGCCGAGGGGAGTCCGAACCCACCGCGGCCCCCATGGGCGCTCCCGCGGCGGTGGGTCCGGACTCCCCTCGGCAGTGGTTTTGGACATGTCTGGGGGGCCTGGCACGGGCTCGGCAGGGCCCCCTGGGGCCTTCGATTCTGTTGCGACTGGGGATCCAAAGTGCTGTTTGGGTCCCAGAGTTGTCGTGTCGTTCGGGGTGTGGGCGGGGGAGTATGTTGCCTCCAGATTACGCCACACTGGGTGCGCGAGAATGAGCTTGTGGAGCCTGAGCGGGGCCTGCAGTGGGCCGTCCTGGAGCTGTTTTGAAGTCTTGTAGCAGTGCCATGTTAGGATTTCGTGTTTTTTCTTTCGGTGGGCATCTTGGCGACTTGGCGGCTCTCTGGCGCCCAATGGGGATCGATGGGCCGTTTTGGAAGCCCTGGGATTGCATTGCAGCGGACTCCGTTTGCCTTCGCGCCGTCGTTCGCACGCCGTGGGAACGACGCGGAGGCATTTTAACCAATCGAAGAGTAGTGTGAAGGAACTTTTGGAGGCCGTAGTTTTTCTCAATCCTCCTGTCCGTTGGGTCTTCGTTGGGAGCCCGGAGCGCTGAGCGCCTCATCTCCTGCCTTCCCCCTCCTCTACCACCGCCTCCTCCTCCAGACCGCTTCAGTCCGTCATCATCTATCCTCTTCTCTCCTGTGTGGTCGGTCTTCGCTTAGGAGTATCCGCCAATGCAGTTTCCGCGCACCTCTCGAACGATTCGTGGCCCCATAGGGCTCCGCCGAAGGCCCCTGTAGCAAGGGCCGCTCCCTTTTGCCACCCCGCGCGGTTCGCGGCTCCTGAAAGGGCGTTGCGCCGAACATTCTCGTAGCGAAGGATGCGCACCGCCCGTCCAGACCACGTCAGCGGGCCCCTCGCTCGATTCGCGGCCCCATCGGATAGCATTCCGAAGGCCTTTGAAGCGCAGGCCACTTGCCAACGCCCAGACAATTCCAGTTCCCCCCTCGCAAAGTTCGCGGCCCCATTGGGAGTTCCACCGAAGGTCTTTGTAGCGCAGGCCGCCCGTCGCCGCCCGGTCCACCCGAGTTCTTTATTCACGCGGCCCGTGGCCCCGAAGGGGGCCCCGCCGAAGCTTCTGGTAGCGCGGGCCGCATGCCGCCGCCCAGACCGCTTCAGGTCTTTATTCACCCCGTTCGTGGCGCCATAGGAAGTTCGGCTGCCGATCAGCAGACATGTTCAACGCAATTCTTGCGCGCGCCGCGGCCTCGTGGAGGTTTACACCGAAGGCTTGTGATGCGCGCGCCGCACGTCGCCACCGACAGTATTGCGGCGCACTCTCACGCGGCTCGTGGCCCCACAGGATGCAACGCCGAAGGCTTCTGTCGCGCTGGCTGCTTGCCGCCGCTCAATCCAATTCAGCACCCCCCCTCACGCAGTTCGGTGCCCCATAGGGAGCTCGGCCGAATTTTTTGGTCCCCGTGCAGGCCGCATGCCGCTGGCCAGACTATTTCAGTTTATAGTTCTTGCAGTTCGGGGTCCCATGCGGCGCCCCGCCGAAGGCTTTTGCGGCGCAGGCCGCTTTGCGCTGTTTTGGACTATGTCGGCACGCCCTGATACGGTTCGTGGCCCCACAGAGAACGTCACCACATTGGTTTTGAAGCACGGGTCGCTTGCAGCCGCCCAAACCATTGCAGTTTTTTCTTCATGCGGTTCGCGGAGTCATGGGGAGCTCCACCGAAGGCCCACGTAGCACAGGCCGCGCGCCGCCGCCCGGACCATGTCAGCGCAGTCTTCGCGCGGTTCGTGGCCTCCAGGGGGGTGCACCGAAGGTTGTTGTGGCAGAGTCCGCATTCACACTCGATGTGCTGGCGTGCGTCGCATACGAATTGCGTTCTGAAAAACGGTTGGCTTCTTCGCAAGAGTGAGTATAGGTGAATATGTGTGGGGTTCGTCGTGAAGTTTTTCCTTGAACGTGTAGAACTGCGCCCCGAAAAGAAAACGAGTTTGGCGTTTGGACGGCCGGCAATGTAAGTCATGCCCAAGTTGCAACGCGCACTCTCTTGAGCTTAGCATTAGAGGTGCCTTCAACGTCAGCCCCGATCTTGGGCAAGCCACGCGCGGCGCTGCAGACATTCCGCAAGACCTACTTCACCACAAGTATGCGTGAGGACCGCTTATAGTGGTACACACCTGCAAAACGCGCAAGGCAACACAATTGTTTTGTTTCGCTTCGCGACGACAGAACTACATCGTGGACCAGCAAAACACATGACACATGACAGCAACACCGTAGCACATGATGCAGCCAGCCCTGACTACCTTCGGAGGACGCGGTGGGTTCGGTCCCGATTGCTTCGTAGTTACTCAATAGCGAGCACCACATATATTACACCGCATAGGTTGCACCACACATATTGCACCGCATAGCTTTCACCTGTGCGGCACAGTGCGCACAACAGAAATTACACCACATAGCTTGTGGTGCCAATTCTGTGCGGGAAGAGAGAAGCTGGGAAGAAGGGCTGTGCGACGATTGTCGTGCACGCCCTCTGGCGGGCATTTTAACAAACTGATCCGCATCTGGCCGGGCCATGCCACTTGTAGTTGGATGGCGCACAAGCCCCACAATGCAGATTGTCTAGGACTGCGCGCAACGCACAGGCCTCATATAGTTTGTCCCACATAGCTTGTACCACGTAGGTTGCATCACATAGATTGCACGACGTTGCTTGCACCACGTAGCCTTCACCATTTAGCTTTCACAGACGCAGTTGCAACAACTTACTGTTTGGGGTCCACGCTGGCAAACATTCCTTTCTCCGCAAAAGAGTCGGTGCTTGCGGCGGGCTTGTATCTTGCTTCGACAATTTTACACCGAGAGTCGCCCCTCACTTCCATCCGCGTCTATGGGGGTCATGGGCAGCTTCTGTAGCTTTTGCGTCCATTCAGGCCCTAACTGACTATGGCGCCACAGCTCGACTTTTTCGCATCGCGTACAGAGAGGCCCTTGTGGGCGGCCCACGCATTTATGTTTGCCGAAGGGGTGTATTTCAACCAGAGCAACAGGCCTTCAAACAAGGCAAGGGCAATTACGGCAACGCGAGTCGGTAGAATCCACGAGCAGTATGATGCAAGCCAGTTGCCCGATGTAGTCCATCCGTGCGCACTTACACAGACGCCATCCATACGCATATCCATGTTGTATTGTGTTGCTCAAGGCGAACCTCGGCCTAACCGAACTCACAGACTGATTCAACGCGCTTTCCAATCGGATATTTCCGCTACTACCGGCACTCGCGTGCCACCTGATTTCACAATGTTCACGATGCCTCGCGTGGAGGGATTCATGCCCCATTTTGTGGGCACTCCTGCGCTTGCGCTCAGCGGGGCGGACTGGCGTCCCGCGCTCGCAGTGGCCGCCGCCGTGTTGCTGGCCCTCTTCGGGGGTGGCAGCTTCGAGGTGGTGGTGGCGATCCTGGCCGCGGCGAGGACGGTCTGGGTGTACGCCCAGCCGGCCAAGGCGGGCAAGGTTGGGGGCAAGGCGGGCAAGATGGTGTCGTACCAGGCGGGCGCTGCACAGGGCACCAAGGGCTTCGTGGATTCCAGCAAGGGCGCGCCGCAGCGCGACCTCGCCCCCCCGGAGCGCGGGTGCAGCAGGCCGCCGCCGGCGGCGGGAGTGAAGGCGCAGGCGGAGTCCCGCGAGAGTCGCCAGGCAGACAGCAGCCGCCCGGCCCGCTCAGCGTCTGCCTCTGGGGCCATTGGGTTCAAGCAGTGGCAAAGCGTCCTGGCTCGCCTATAGGCCCACCAGAGAATGTTCTACGAACCTTGTGTGGTCTGCGCGAAAGGTTCTTAGAACATTTCTGGCTGAGATTGTTTTGTTCGAGCACATCGGGCTTGTGTTCTAAGAACTTCGTTTTTCGTTTAAGAATATGTATGGCTTCTAAGAAACTTCGTGGTAGGCCATAGGATTGCCGGGACGGTCGGTCCCTGCTCAAGGGGTGCGTCCAAGAGTCTAGACTTCCCAAGTGCGGCGCGATCCTCCCACCCACTCGGACCTATTTTTGGGGGGCCCCTACACGAGGGGGTGAGGACCGGGGGCGTGTGGATCTCATGGCCGGGGGCTACTGCAGTCTCCCAGGTTTGCCTGGTCTCCCCTTCTCGGGCCATGATGCCATGACCCCCTCTCTCCTTGGTTCCCCTCTTCGGCGCACCCGGGCCATCGCCGGTCGCGGCCGCGATGATCACCGATAACTCAGCGAGCAGCCCGCTCGGTAAGGCGCCGCGGTCTCGATCTTCGTGCACCCCGTTCCCAGGCCCCATCTCTCCGGTAGCTCGAGGACCGCAGCGGGTGCCGACGTCTCCCGCGGGAGTCGTGGGCGGACCGTCGATGCCGGGGGCTCCTCTCGGCTTGGCTCGGCTGGCACGCGATCGGCCCGCGGAGCACGTGGTCGCCGCTGCGATCGTTCGGGCCGCGGTGTCCGGGGGCTTTGACCCGCGACGCGGCGGGCCAGACGCCGAGGTCAGGCCGTCTGCCAGGGGTACGTGCGGACGATCACGGAGCACGCCAAGAACAAGCGGTGTGGCGAGGCCTTGGAGCTTCTGGACGACATGCGGCGGCGCTCTATCCCCCCGAGCACGAGTGTGTACACGGCCTTGATCAGCGCATGCGACAAGGGCAAGCAGCAAGAGAAGGCCATGGAGCTGTTCGACGAGATGAAGGCGCAGCAGTGTACCCCGAACGCTGTCACTTACAACGCACTCATCAGCGCCTGCGGGCGTGGCAGCAACCCTGAGAGGGCGCTGGAGGTCTGGGAGGAGATGCGGTCGAACAGACTCTCCCCGACCGTGGTGACATACACGTCCCTCATCGGTGCCATGGGTCAGAGCCAGATCCCCGAGAAGGCGTGGGAGTTCTACGAGGCCATGAAGGCGAGCCAGATCGAGCCCAACTACATCACCTTCGGCAAGCTGATGCACGCGTGCTCCCGGAGCCAGAGCGTGGACAAGGCCGACATGGCTCTGGGGCTCTACAAGGACATGGGGGAGCGCGGCATCCAGGCGGACTCGTACACGTTCGGCGCCCTGATCAGCGCTTGCAAGGAGAAATACCCCCAGAAGGTCACGGAGCTCTACTCGGAGATGCGGCGGCTCAGGGTCGCGCCCGACGCCGGCACCTACAGCACCGTGATCAGCGCCTGCGACCGAAGCGCCCAGACGGGCAGGGCCGCCCAGGTGTTCTCTTCCATGAAGCAGCAGGGTGGCCAGTCCCAGAGCAACCTCGGCGCGTACAACGCGATGATCAATGCGTGCGGGAGTGGGGACAAGACCTTGGACGACGCCTTGGCGCTGCTGAAGGAGATGCAGACGAAGGGCCCCGCGCCCGACGCTGTGACCTACTCCACGGTGATGAAGCTCTGCGAGCGGGCCCGCCGGCCGGAAGACGCCCTCCAGGTATTCGATGCCATGTGTAAGTCTGGATGCACGGTGGACCGCATTTGCTGCAACTGGGCCCTGTCCGCGTGCGAGCAGCTGCGGAACGTGGAGCGGGGACTTGCACTTTTCGACTACATGAAGAAGTCGCTGGCCCTCGAGCCGGACGCGAGCACCTACGGCCTGCTCATCAGCGCTTGCGGCAAGTGCAAGTGGGGCAACAAGGCGGCCGAGCTCTTCCAGGAGCTCCAGGACAACAAGCTGGTCCCGAACCGCTTCGTTTACAACGCCATGATCGGGGCCTGTGGCAACGTGAAGCGCATCGGCATGGCGCTCGACACGTTCAGGACGATGAAGGAGGAGGGCGTCGTGCCCGACGCGATCACTTTCAATTCCCTGATCAGCGCGTGCGAGAAGCGCATGTGGCCAGAGCGCGCGACGGAGCTTCTCAGGGAGATGGAGGAGTCGGGGCCTGCGCCCGACGTCAAGGCCTATACCGCGCTGATGAGCTGCTGGGCCAAGAGCAAGGAACCGGAGAAGGCTCTCGACGTGTACCGGGAGATGATCGGCAAGGGCATCGAGGCCAACGCCATCACGTTCAGCACCTTGGCGTGGGCGTGCGAGAAGAGCGGGCAGACGTCCCTGGCGAAGGAGTTCAACCTGAAGGAGGTCGAGAGCCTGCACAGCTGCAGCGCCAAGGAGGTCCGCACCATCCGCCAGCACAGCCACAAGAGATTCGCCCAGCGCAGGTAGGTGTCGCACGGGCTTGCGCCTCGGCAGCTGCTGCAGGCCGGCGAGCACTGCATCGCAGCTTGACGAGCACCAGTCTGGCCCTTGGCATCGCTCGGACGTGTGCATGTTTCCTTCGGCGAGGACCATGGAGGAGCATCCTTGGTCATTTGGCGAAAAAGCCACGCACGAAACCAACAAAAACACAGGGAATGGACGTCCGAGCGATGGCGAGGACCGTGAGGCACCCCGAGGCCCGATCGGCGTCCCCGAAGAGGGCCGCCCGGGACAGAGCAGCGAGCACGGTCAGGACGCCGTCGAAGGTTGCGCTGCCATGCAAAACATACTCCCGGGCGCGAGCTCCTCCAACTGGGTCTGCTGCCGCCCGTGCGTGCCCCGAGAAGTCGGGAACTGGAGCACATACATTACCAGTGGCGGGCGGTTTTTCCAATTCCAGGACTTTTTTTGTGGGTCGGGGACGACGTCGGGGTGGTGTGGTGTATACTTGTTTCCCCGTTCTCCTGGGGAAGCAACGAAGACTGTATACACCCAGGATCCCGTATACACCAGGATCCGCGTTCCTGTGCGAATTTCAGGCGCAGGGTCGGACAGAGCGTCGGTGTATAGAGTGCGCTTCCCCAGAAGTGGCCCCTTGTATCTCTCTCTCTCCGGGCCACTGCACTCACAGAGTCGTTTCTTCGTTTCTTCTGCTGCACGTCCGGAGCTGATGCCCGACCGCTGGCTGTGGTCGCCATCGGCGCAGGGCTCAGGACCTCAGCCCCCTTTGCTGCCTGCGACTGAAGTGCCAACCTTGATTTGAGTAGCGAGGCACACTTGTTTCCTCAAACGGCGATGTGGCTCCACATTCGCGAGTTAGTCTGTACGGGACGCAGTGATGAGGCACGCGCACACACAAACGGTGGGGGCGTTCGTGAAGACATGTGCCTCGGGGATTCAGATTTTGGAGGGTTTCATATCTGGTGAGGGCGGCGGTGATATTCATGGCCCGTCCACGATTGGAGTTCCACGGGCTTCCAGACCCTTGGTTCCTATCGAAGGGTTCCTTGTCCAACGCCCCGCACCGCATCTGTTGTTTTCTGTCGCGGCCGCGCGCGCAGCCACACGGCGGAGTCAGGCAGGCAGAGAAGGGGGAACGCGCGGGCCCTCACGCAGCCACCAGGCGGCGTGACGCAGGGTGCACCCTCGGGGGGCCGCGCTGCGTGGGGAGCCTCACGGGGGCGGGCCAGCCGCGGGACGACTGCGGGAAGCGGCAGTGGCAGGCCTGGCGGATTTGCAGCGACCGGCTCAGCGGGACGGGGCCGAACTGCAGGCGGAAACGCGGCCGAGCGTTCACAGCCACACGCACACACGCACATACACACACACATCTTTATATATACACATATATATATGTATATATATATATATATATACACACCCACGTATTCGCACACAAGCGCTCAATCACACAAGCACGCATAGCCACAAGCACGCACAGACGCGCAGACGCACAAGCACCCAAACACACAGACACACAAGCACAGCAACGCACAGACGCAAACATACGTGCCCTCATGCATCGATCCGACGTTGGACATCCCGCGTCGCAGACACCCCTCCTATGTCCTTCCCTGCTTCCCTCCTCTGTCTCGCCTCCTACATCTCCGCAGGCCTCCAACATGCTTGCCAGCATCGATGGGAAGGGCCCGCGAGGCCCCCAAGTCATTACAAGTGGGCCCCGAGAGACCCCCAGGAGAGCCCCAAGAGGAACCCGATTTTGCGGCACACACAGCAAACTGTTGAGTATTGTTCAAGGCTGTTGTATGTCCTGGCGTTCCTATGTTTTCTGTCTGCGATGGCTCCACGAAGGCTTCAGACAAGCCGATTATCGACCAAAGAGACGCCCAGACGGCTGCCAGAGGATGTAAACGAGACCCAGGACTGCCCCAAGGTGGACCCACAGACTCTTGGTCCCTGCGTACCACCGTGTGACCGTAACTCGGGGCTCACGTGCTCATTCTGTTCTGGCGAAGCTCTGCTGGTACGTACTTAGTGCGCTAGCGCCGCGTGGTTCGAAGCCGGAGGCTTCTGCAGATGCATGGCTCGGCAATTCACCACGGAAAAGAATTCCAGGAACATGTGCTCGGCGGAGCTCCGCCAGAACGTTCGGGATGCGCTAGCGCTAGACGCTCGAGGGAGGACGCTCTGGTGGCCTTTGGGACTGGGAAAACGTTTTCTGGACGAGAAAGGCTACCAGGGGAAACGCGTTCATAATGTTCTGGCGAAGCCCTCCCAGAACATTCCGAGTGAGCCCGATGACCGCCAGACCGCTCCGCGATATGGGGGCAACGTTCCAAGAGAATCCCCATTTTTTCCAAGCCAATCAGAATTCGAACGATGCTTTCGGAGTTTGCGCATGTGGATTCCCAAGTGTGCAGTCGAGCATTGCTCTCTGAAGTCTTCAGAGAAGCCGATGAGCGAGTGTAGGTGCAAAGACGCACCTCAAAGCGCCGCAAGATAATCCAAGCATGACTTCCCGAAGAGGGCCCCAGGGAGCCTCCCAGGGAGGCTCTCGATGGCTCCCGAGGCGTCCAGACTGTCCCAAGATGGCCCTAACACGCCCCGCATGTCCAAGCGGGCTGCAAACCAGCTCTACGAGATCTCAAGATGACTCCAACAGGGTCCCAGGACAGTCCCAGAGGGTCCTCAGAGGACCCCAACATGGCTCCATAGCCCATGAGCCACTCCAAGAGGGGACCCAAATGCTGTTCAAGAGGGCCCCACAACCGCCCCAGATGAACCTTCCACGGAGGAGGAGGGGGAGAAGGAGGAGGAGGAGGAGGCGGACGAGGAGGAAGTGGAGGACAATGGACTTCATCGTGTCTCCCGTTCCTCATTGCCCCTCCCACCCATCCTCATCCCGCTTCCCTTCTCGCTCGTCTCTCCTTGCTGGCCGTGGCACCACTGCATCTCTCCGCTCCGTCTCGAGTGTCATCGTCGAAGATGCTCGTTCGACGCTGCACAGGAGGCAATTTGATCCGAAGAGCCCAAACCTCCTTTCTTTTCGCATGAGACTCGATCCAAAACCAATGGAAGGGAGGGACTGGGAGTGGGGTGCGAGGGAGGGCGAAGGGAGAGAATGCCAGAGTGAGGCTTACGCGACTGCATGCCCGTCCGGGAGATGCAGGGAGGGAGGAGGGGTAAGGGAGGAGGACAGCACAGACGGAGACGAAGGCGAAGCAGGACGTCGAGGGTAGAGGGTCGAGGAGCATATGGATCACAAGAGGTAGTGGACACGTGGGAGCTGAAGCCTGCAATGGTGACAGGCGTGCGTGGCGTGTGCGTGGGTGGCTGGTGATTCCCTTGTATGTCATGGTGATCGTGATGCGTGAGGCGTGCTTGTCCTGGTGTACCTGGGGTGATCCGGGTACATGCGTGCGTGGTGTGCATATAGCGGAGTCCCGCCGCATGGGGCCATTGTGCAAATTTTCCCAAAGTCCCATCCCCGATGCACCTTTCTCAGTGAACGAAGTCATAGGCACGCACGTGTGTTTCACTGCTGGGTATTGTGTAGGCAGCATATGTATACATACCTATACGACCACCCTGCGGGTGATAAGGAGGTGAGGGGGGAGGGGGAACCAACGTCTCACTCAATCGATCTCGCTATCGATCTCACAATCGATCTCACATTCGATCTCACTATCGATATCACTATCGATCTCGCTATCGATCTCACTATCGATCTCACAATCGATCTCACAATCGATCTCACATTCGGTCTCACATTCGGTCTCACTGTCGATCTCACTATCGATCTCACAATCGATCTCACAATCGACGTCATCATCATCATCATCACATCATCATCATCATCATCATCATCATCATCATCATCATCATCATCATCATCATCATCGCCATCATCAACACATCGATCTCACAATCGATCTCACATTCGATCTCACTATCGATATCACTATCGATCTCGCTATCGATCTCACTATCGATCTCACAATCGATCTCACAATCGATCTCACATTCGGTCTCACATTCGGTCTCACTGTCGATCTCACTATCGATCTCACAATCGATCTCACAATCGACGTCATCATCATCATCATCATCATCATCATCATCATCATCATCATCATCATCATCATCATCATCATCATCATCATCATCATCATCATCATCATCATCATCAACATCATCATCATCATCATCATCATCATCATCATCATCACATCATCATCATCAATCATCGGGGACCATCACTATCGGGACACCGACGGGACACCGACGGGACACCGGCGGGACACCGCGCGCCACCGGCCGCCCGGAAGAGACACATTTGGTCCGGCCGCGCCTCAGCCACAGGGACACCGACGGGACACCAGCGGGACACCGGCGGGAC